AGCATTTCGAGTTATTTTAAAGCAAAAAGAAAGGGAACTTCATAAAGATCTTGATTTTATAAAACATCGGTTAGACTAAAGTAAATAAGAAATAACCCATATTCATACAGTTTTTTATACTCCGTATTATGATTGGATTACAGCAGGAGAAGAAATTGCAAATGTTCATGCAGTAATCAAATACCATATAAATAACCTTACAAGAATTCTCTCCTGTCTTATTAAGTCTTCTATTTTACGAAATAAATTTCATGTACAATGGCAAAATCTATATAAACAGACGAAAAAATTGTTAAAAGTTATCAATCTACTTGATAATATCAATAATATATAAAAAGAGCGAATATATAGACAAGATTGTTGAGCTGTATTGTCAAGTACCCTTAGCTGAAATTGTCACTTCCCGCTAAGAATACTGATAATACTTATTTTTTACTTATGCAATAGTAGTAATCAAGTTTAATTTTACTTTTCTCAATTTGCATATATCCAGATTGATTCTTCCGATCAAATTAATCCGAAGCTGGTGATCAGTTCAGAATATTTTTTTGACTCATTGCAGAGTTCATGAAAAAGAAAGGTTTTGGGATAAAATATGGTGATACCGATTCCCTATATCTTACTTGCCCAGATTCTTATTATGAGAAATGCGATCTATCTTACTAATGCCTGGAGATGATTTGGGGTGATCATTAGTATTTTCACAATCTACATATTTTAAAGATAAGCTTTATTGGTATAATGGCTGAACTACATAACCAGGTTTTTCAGTACATAGGTTTCGAACCTAACAAAATTCGTTTCCCGAGGATAGACAGGTATTTCATAAAATAATAACAGAATAGGAGGGAATGACAGATATTGTAATAGATGACTATCGATTTTTACAACAACATGGACATAATGGTAAAGGTGGTGAATATATTCATATTGGATGGTTATTAGCATGTACGGTAGCTTATGCTGAAAAGATCTTAATAAATCCACCCAAAGATTTATCAGAAAGGGTATTAGCTCATATTAAAAAAGATTTGAAGAAGTCCCACTTACGCCAGTACTTATATGGTATTAGTTAGCAAAGCTAACGACCTATTAATATATTTTTCATGTGTGAAATAATGGTCATTTTTTAAATTCATATCCCACATATTCCATATTTTTTTTCCCAACGATTCATATAATGGCAAGAAGTAGTAAGGTGAGTATGATATATATTGATATCGGTAACATTAAGGAGCTCGCAATGATAGGAGCAGTTGCTGGTAAAGATACCATTTCTGCGTTACCTAATTGCTCTGCAACCCTTCACTCAAAATATATTTTTAGAATGTGCTAGTCGACTATGAACAGATTGATTGGGTAGAGTATCTGTCTGGCTTCTCGAAACCATCTTATTTCAGGGTAATAGCTCTTGCAAAGCCTCTAATACATTTTCTCTAGCAAAACTTTTATCGAATTCCATAACTTTATCTTCAAGACTGAGCTCATAGATGAGGGGTTTTAAATTGTCACTGACCCAACCTGGTAGCTTTTGCGATGAATCGTTCATAGGTGAAGGCAGGGAATTAGAGAGATCTGTTATTTCATTATGCGAAGCGTCTCTCGGCTCTTTCTTCGACAGTAATTCTTGAAGATGAGTGTTTTTCTCAAGTAATTTTGATCGCGCTAAAAATAAAGAATCTATTATCTGATTGTATATGTTATTTGATGATTCTATCCCTTTTTCCATACATTCTATTTCATGTTTTTTTGAATTAATCTCCTTATTCACTTGCTCCAGTTCAAGCCTGAGGGATTCTATTGCAGATGAGTTTATTTGGGCCAGCTCCTCTAGTAGTCCTCCCACTATATACGAATCACATTCTAGTTCCAGATATAGCAACTTACCTTCCAATTCAATTACCTTAGCTTCAAGAGAAAGGATCTTGACCTTGTTAGCGAACGAAGCTTTCTGCACTAAAGTCGCCTCTCTCTTTAGTATTTTAATATTGGATTTGAACGATTTGATTTCAACAGAATATTTGGCTTCAAGCTCAATACGGGACATCCATTCATAAGTAATTTGGGATGTAAGCTTAGTATTTACACTATTTAGCTGGCTAACCTTATTTCCGATATCAGCATGGAATCGCTGAAACTTCTTTTCTTGCCCTGAATACTCTGAATTTTCAGCCTTCAACTTTTTATTGAAGTCAATAATTTCAGAGTTAAAATCAATAGCAGATCTTAATTTTTTTTGAGCTCTTGCTCATATGTACTATCTAGCCGATATCCTCTATCTTTTATATCTTTAGTGTATATACATTGGACATAATATTGGCATGGTTATATAGCAGAAAAAAAATATACGAATAAAATTCTGAGATAATACATTCATCCTATATATTCAGAATGTTATATTCTTTCTATACATCCTGCATATCCTATATATCCTATTTATTCAGAATATGTTTTTCCTATACATCCTGTACATCCTGTATATCCTGTTTATCTGAAATATATTTTTCCTGTATATCCTGTATATCCTATATATTTGAAATGATACATTTTTCCTGTATATCTTATTAAATAAATTATTTCAGAATATTATATTAGATATAAAAAAATATTGCTATCATGCTTAGGCGATATATGAGATATGATGCCTCTTCTTTTTCACCAACTGATTACAATTTTATTATGCAATGTACTGAAAAAAAGCCTAGAGATGAAGTTTTAAAGGATTTAACAAATAAATATCACACATCACAAAAACGTATTTATCAAATCTGAAGAGGTGAAGAAAAAAATAGGGTTATGTGGAATCAACCAATTCATATGCCAACAGCTTCACTTTCTAATATAAATGTTATGAGTGAGCGGACTGAGCCAGAGATTCAAGATCAAGATGTTTCTCCATTTGCAGAATTGGAAAAACAAATACATGATAATAAGATAGAGCCTAGAAAATCTACTGGTTTGGCTTTAGAAGAGAGTGTTATTTTAGGCGGTAAGGCGAAAAAAACTGGAAGAAAGAAATCAAAATCTGTTCAGATTTCTGAACCATCTAGTATTCAGACTCAGCCAATTCAGGTTTCAGAGAAGGATACTAATAATGTAAATTTGGATACACCTTATGAGAAGATGGTTGAAAAAAATACAAAAATTATAGATGAAAAAGGAAGCATTATTCTGAAAATAACTCGCCTTTTTCCTAAGAAGACTTTTGCAAAACTCACTGATTTCTGTATTGAACTTGATAGCATTAGAAAGCTTCTTCTCAAGTTCTTTTATATGAATTATTATATCCTCATAGTTTATGCGTTTTTTTAATATATTATCATCCTCACTTAAGTCCTACGAGTCCTGAGAAACTTTATCCGGAGTTGTTAGATCATCACATTCAGGAGTAATATTCACGCAATTCACCTTGAGCTTATTCTTGACCTTATGCATATTGATTGGAATAAAAAATTCCTTACCATTACACTCTAGTCTTAATTCTTGCTTTGATGCAAGCAAATCATAATTATATTTATCGAGAAGTGTATTAGGTAAGATTAGCATTGGTTTAGGATACTTAACTACAGCAAAATCAGCATATATAGTAACAATTCTGAGGGATTCTGTGGGAATAGTAGCAATGCCTCTAAGATCATGTTTTTCTTTTGTATCAATTTCTAGCTTTGATTGTTTAGAGATATCCTGAGACATGATC